GTGATTGGTGAGGGTGTGATTGGTGAGGATGAGTGGTCAGGGTGAGTGGTGAGGGTGAGTGGTGAGGATGAGTGGTGAGGGTGAGTGGCGGTTGTGAGTGGTGATGGGTGAGTGGTGAGGGGTGAGTGGTGAGGGTGAGTGGTGAGGGTGAGTGGTGAGGGTGAGTGCTGAGTGGTGAGGGAGTGGTTAGTTTTGAGGGTGAGTGGTGAGGTTGAGTGGTGAGGGTTAGTGGAGAGTGGTGAGTGGTGATTGGTCAGTGGTGATTGGTGAGGATGAATGGTGAGTAGTGAGGGTGAAGTTGAGTGGTGAGGGTGAGTGGTGGTTGTGACGGTGAGTGGTGAGGGTGAGTGGTGAGGGTGAGTGGTGAGGCTGGATGGTGAGGGTGAATGGTGAGAGTGAGTGGTGAGTGGTGAGGGAGAGTGGTGAGTGAGAGTGGTGAGGGTTAGTGGTGAGGGTTAGTGGTGAGAGTGAGTAGTGAGGGTGAGTGGTGATTGGTGAGTGTGAGTGGTGAGGGTGAGTGGTGAGGGAGGTTGGAGAGTTGTGAGGGTGAATGGTGAATAGTGAGTGGGAGTGGTGAGTGGTGAGGATGAGTGGTAAGGGTGAGTTGTGAGTGGTGAATGGTGAGGGTGAATGATGAGTACAGTCAATATGCACTGCTGTTATCATACCAGGTACCACCACCACAATATGTACTCCTCTCATCATAGCAGATACCACCACAGCAGTATGCACTGCTGTAATCATAGCAGGTTCCACCACAATATGCACTGCTGTCATCATAACAGGTACCAACACAGCAGTATGCACTACTGTAGTGATAGCAGGTACGACCTCAGTCGGTATACACTGCTGTAGCGATAGTAGATACTGCTATCGAGTTGGTAGATACCGCTATAGTAAATACTAAAACAGTCAGTATATACCACTACAGTCAGTCAATACTGCTACAGTCAGTATATACTACTATACAGTCAGTACATATTGCTACGGTGAGTAGCTACTAGAGTCAGTAGATACTATTATAGAGTGAGTAGATACTGCTATAGATTTTGTAGTTACTACTGTAGTCAGTGGATACAACTATAGAGTCAGCAGATACTATACAGTTAGTCGTTACGAGTATATAGTCGGTAGATACTACTGTAGGCCCAGTAAATACTACTATGGTCAGTAGTTATTACAGTCACTAAATACTACTACACAGTCAGTAGCTACTACTGGCTCAGTAGATACTACGGTACAGTCAGTAGATACTACTACAGAGTCAATAGATACCACTTCCTCTGTTGTATGTAAGGTGTTGTTAGTATATATACCTACGAGGGGTAAAGATATTTTTTGAGGGGGGGGGGGGGGAGACCACAATTTTCGGAAACATTTTGACATCAACTATTTACCCCACACTTTCTACAACTTTTTGGACTTGTGAAAGCCTCTTATATATTTGTTGGTGGAAAAATGTACAAACAGCCCACCGGGCTTTGACAATACCTTAGTATCTGTGTATATATATGTAAGGTTTTTAAGAAAGATATTTTTCACCCGGGCAAAGCCGGGTACTTCCGCTAGTGTTAATTATAAAATGCATCACCGAGTGAACAAATGAGCCAATGAGCGTGTATTTGATTGAGGGGCTCACAATAGTTGACCAGAATAATTGTAAGAATGAGTGAAAGCCTGGGTTAATGACTGAACAATTGAGTGAATAAGCAACATATGGAGCCAACTAATCAATACATAAGCAAAATGAATCGACATGAATAAAAAAATAAGACATTCGTTAAGCGATCAAGAAAAGAACGAGCTGATGAGTTAACTACTGAATGAGAGAAAGATTGTGCAAACATAAGTTAGTGACTGATTGAACGAGGAAAAAATAAGTTGGTTAACATGCCAATGGGTGAGGAACAAAATAATGAACTGAGTGAATGAACACGCAAAGTAAACAAATAAGTGATAGATTAAGCAATCAGATTGAGCCTATGAATGAGCAAAGGCTTAGGAGGAGCAAGCACAGGAGTCTGATTGGACCAACGAGTGAACGAGCGAGTGAATAAGTGAGTATTGAAGTGCATAGTGTTTGGAAAACGAATGAAAGACTGAATGTAGAAATGGGAAAAAGATTTAATGAACAAAAGACACCAACTGAGTTTGTGACCTAACAGACAAGGAAACAATTGAGCGAGTAAAGAAATTAACAAATGAGTAAATGGATGGGCGACTGAAAGACTGAACGGTCTCTTGGCTTTTGTGCTGAAGGTCAGGAATTGAACTTGGGTCACCAGGATTGTGGCACAATGAGCAACCCACCCCACTACAGCAAAACCACTATGCAGAACACAGACAAGACAAAGATTCACAACAGAGCCATGCAGACTGTTGGGGCAAGTGCTGTCAGCGAGACAAGGCATGAGAGGGTGATGGCCGAGTCGACCAATGCGAAGGCGCAGGACTGGTTCAGATACACGCCACTGATGTAAGCCTTGGTCAGGAATTGTAGCACAGTAAGCGAACCACTGCACTGGCAAGAAACGACGCTTTGAACATCCAGTGCGTAAACAGAGGGAAAAGGTGGTGGGCCGATTACATTTTTTACTAAACTGTACACCGTAATTGTGATGCAAATGACACGAGGGAGAGCCATGCAGGGGCAGACAAGATAAATGACTGGCAGATAGCGGTGGTGGTGGTGGTGGAGGTTTACCCAGAATAACGCAAATTGGCCTATAACCCTCACTGTGTCAGTGAGAGAGAGAGCGAGTGAGTGACAGCGAGTGAGAGCATGAGCGAGTGTGAGAGAACGAGAGCGAGCAAGAGCGAGCCAGAGGGAGGGCTCTAATTATTCAGGGCTTGGCCATCCTGGGCTTGGAATCAATAAAAATGCAAATGGGAATGAGAGGGAGATGCCAGGAGAAGGCCCCTTATTTTACATAATCGAGTCAAAAGACGAGGCTCCGTGTGTGTGTGTGTATCGCGGTTCAGTCTAATTCTGTCTATTTCAACGAGTTTGTGTGTATCCACACGTGTGTCTCTCTAAGCGTATGTAGGTGTGCATCTCCGTGTATGCCATTTTACAAGACTTGGCGCTGTGGTGAAATCTCCCCTAAAATTAGCGGCAAATGGCGGTTGTTTTCTCAGAATACGGTGAGTGGCTATGTAGTGGTTAGCACACTGCACTACGAACCCGGCGACCCGAGTTCAATACCTGCTCACCACCAAAATCAGTGACTAATATCTGAACCGATCGTGGGCCTCCCCGATGTCGAGTCAGCCCTAAAAGAGTACCTGGTGCGGTCTGTAAACATCAGCACTGGGGAGATGAAGGCAGCAAGGCATGCTGCTGGACACCCAACCCGTTGTGTGCCTTGCCAGCCTTCATAGGTGTTCAATAATTTCACTTGCTCCAAAAGTCTGTTAAAGTCTATATGGGGGATCTTTGCCTTTTTTGTCTCAAACTTTACCTCCGAGTCGGTCTGCCTTTCTGTATATTTGTGTGTGCCTACGTCTTTAGCATCTTTCTGTGTAAATCTCTGTAAAACAGTTGTTATTACTTGTGCGAATTTTTAAAAATTTTATCTGAAGAATTTCAGTAACCTGCTGCATTATGTTTGGACAATTCCATCAAATAATGTTTGGTTTTGTGTGGGAAGAAACCACAGCCCATAGTGGAAGCCCATATGACGGGATTGCAATTAAATCTCCCCACTGATATATTAAAGAAACTACTATTGTTGTTGTATGACCATTTTCTGGACCTCGCAGCCAGAGTCTATAACGGTTTTGGCAGTCTCTTATCCAAGCATTAACCGAGCTAAAACCTGCTTAGCTGCTGAGATTGGGTGCATATAATTCATTTGTTCGTAGGTACTCTCTCTCTCTATCTTTCCATGTGCCTCTGCACATGTGCAAATCAGTCTTGTATCCCATGAGGGACCTTGTTTTACATAATCTAGTCAAACGCCAGGGCTCTGAGTCTTTGTTTGTTTATGTTTTTTTCGATTGTGTCAGTGTCCATATCTGTGTGCGCCTATTTTTATGTCAGTGTTTCCCTCCGTCAGTGTCTCTGTGTCCACGTTCTGTTCTTTGTCTACACGACTGTGTTTATTGTCGTTATGTCTGTATTGGTCCTCTGTCATTGTCTGAATGTAATTACGTCTGTCACTATATATTTCTGTCTATTCCTCTTTTCATACGTACATTTGTCTGTGTCTCACTTCATTAAATTTTTTGTCTATATATCTCGGTCAACCTTTGTCTGTCTCTGGCCACTTTGTCTCCCCAGTGCTGATATATAAATACCACACCACATTTTACTTTAAGATCGAGTCAGACTAGAGGAGGCCCAGGACCAGTTCAGATATGACTTGTCATTGATGTTGGCCCCACGTGGGAATTGAACCCAGGCTGGAGGGTTTATAGTGCAGTGCGTTAACCACTACGCCACCACTCACCATTTAAATTACTACAAACACCCTTGCATTGGGACTGAAGCTCTCATTGAAAGCCTGGTTTGCAAATAGTTATATTTACAGTCGAGACCACATCGCGCTCTCGTCTTGCCATGTCGCATCGCAAGATAATCACATAAGGTGTCAACAGCACGACCAAGGTGTGGACAATCAGAAACTGCCATCATGTCCCATGCTGCTCGATGAATCACCAACCAATGCAAACACTCACCAAACAAGTCACAGCCCCGAGAAGAGTTGAATCGCCAGTATTTGATCGAGTCTTGGTTTGCCCTTGCGGTATATGCATCTGTAGGTAAGTCTATGGACCGCACTGGCAATCTACAGGTCTTTATGTAAGTCTATTGGTCTCTGCGAGTCGATGGGTCTCTATGCAAGTCACTGTTCAGCAGGCTGACACCATAAACTCTCTGAGAACACAGTTTAATCCCTGTTGGAGTAAAACCTAAATTCGTATATTAATTATAATCTCAGTGGGGCCGACGCGGTGTCACAAACTCGCCGATTATGAACCCATTCCCAAGCACTCACCAGCGGCTCTGATGACAGCGGCTGAACCCCCAGGATGAGAGGAACACAATGGCCGGTTCCGGGGGCGAAGCCTTCCTTGCTTCTGCTGCTGGTACCGCCACTCAGCAGGCATCAACGCTTGCTTGTGCGCTCGTGTTGCCTGCTGCCAGTAGGATTGGGGGTAGGGGGCAGGGTGTTCAAACATATCCACAGATGTATTAAAAATACTTGCCTAATTGCCATCTGGCAATTCACCAGTATTGGTTCAAGAAAGCCTGACTCTGCTCATGAAACGACGAATGAAGGAACCGATCCAGAGTTTGCTTGTCTTAAACCAAAGCTACTAAAAAAAGACACTCCCAGAAAGCCATGTGGCCGAATGGATGTGTAAAAAATACTTTATAATTTTTTTTATTGTGGAGGGACGGATATGGCAAGGAGGCGTATCATCTGCCTATTTATTTTGGTACATATATTCTCCACAACGACACAAATGTGTTTGATACACGATCATCAGAATACAATGCCCAAAGCATATGAAAGTGGTGAATTGAAGTATTTTATTTTAACCAGGTGAGAGCACATTGAGATTCAATATCACAGCGATATAGGTGCTGCATTAGGCTTTTGAATGTGCTGTAAATTTGCAGGCTGATGCATTCACGTTCTTTATTTACATTGTATGAGAACACACTGAGATTGATCGTCATGACACCCTCGGCTTGTTGAGAGGGTGGGTGATTTACACGTATTTACAGATCATGGTGACCGGAACACAATGCCCTCGCCTTGTCAATGTGCAGCATTGAAATATTTGATTAAACCAGGTGAGAGCCCCCTGAGATTCACTGTCAAGAAGCCCTAGGCGTATGGTGGCGGGGTGGGAGTTTTAGATGTAGCTTAAGATCTCTTTGACATATGCTTACTGGAAAACAGTGCACTGCGGATTTAAATACTTTATTTAACCATGGGAGAGTTGACTGCGATTCAGTCACATTGCTAAAGCTTTTTGCAAACGTGCCAACTTTTGAAATTTTGTACTATATTTTACAATGTGTTTTCACAACATTAATATGCATTTCCACAACACACTTGGCTTGTAAACATGTCGACTGATGAATTGAAATCCTGTATTTAACCAGGGTCTGGGGTGGGTTAAATGTATTTAAAGGTACTGAATGGAAATCCCTTATTTAACCAGGTAAGTGCACATTGAGATTCAAGGTCACAATGCTCTGGGTTAACATGCCAAATGATTAATTACATCTATTATCCAAACCACTGTGAGACCAATAATATTTCAAGTATATACATTCACAATGTTCTAGGCCTGCCAACGCGCTTCAATTGACATATTTTATTTAAGCAGGTGAGAGCTCATTGAGATTCAGCGATACAATGCACCAGGCTTGTGAATGTCCTATAAGAGCTTTTATGAACCATGCGAGTGCACAACGAGCTTCATTGTCACGGTGCACGGTTGATAAAATTAAATCCTTTGTTTAACCAGGTGAGCACCCTTAAATTTATCACAACGTCCAAAGCTTGTAAATTTGCTGATTCAAGAACTAACTAACATAATTCAATTAATCAAACGAGAGCACGTTGAAATCAGCACAATGCCTTAGCCTTACAACGTGTGCCTGTTAAGGAATTCATATCCTTTATTTAACCATGTGAGAGCACATTTAAATTGTTAGTGTTCTCCTCTCACAAGCTTATTAGCTGATGAACCAGCATCCTTTAATGAACCGGGTGAAAGGACAGCCATCTGAATGCAGCAAGGACACAAAATACGCTGGGCCACTGCGACAGGAATCTAAGCATTGTTTCAAACCTCTGGAAAATCGCTGAATCTGGAGGAAAAAACAATCCGATCTGGAAGCAAGTTGAATTGCCCACTCAGTAGACGAGTGTAACCATTTCCACGGTATCCAGCACCAAGTATTGATTATCCAAAAGTCAATTGCAGCGTTTAACGGGCAAGCGAGCGTGCAAAGTTGCAGACATGTGCCTCCCAAATTACTTCATAATCATTCGCAAACTGCAGATAGACTGGAATCCGCTGCAGGAATAAGGAATTTCCACAGCTGGCTCAGGGGGCCGTCAGTGAAGGTGAGCACCGATGCATGTTCGTTGAGCGGGAAACTCACTACCTGTGGTAATAATCACACGATCATTGATAAAATATGATATTAATAATTATTGATGCTGACGTCTTGTAATTGTTAGTGTACGAAATTTGCTAGGCAGAGATCACTGGTTCGGTTACCCGGCTTGGCATTTGAAATACCGGTAATGGCCAAGTTTTTTAAACCCCCCCCACCTCTGTCCACCCAGCAGTATAAATGGGTGCAACCACAGTCAATCGCAGGTCGCGTGTGGTGGAGTAGAATCGATTTCTGAATGAAACCGAGAGCCTGAATCGTGACAATCCAAGTTTCCGAGACAGTGAATTATACGTAACACATTTAATATGTATACGGACAATATCTATAATGCACAAACACAGTAGCAGGAGCACACAGATCAGGGAACAAATACAAATCAGACAACACATTGACTGTTAAGGCAAGTGGGGTCGGACATGACACATCATGGTGAGAACGGATGACAGCAAATGGACAACACTAGTGATGGAATGGCAGCCAAAAGATGGAACACATCCGAGAATATAACTACCGTGGAGGAGATGGAGCCATGAGATAAAATTTCGCGCGGAGTGATATGAAGGTGCCTAGGTGGCACAGGGGGCTAATATCGTGTTAGAGTACTGAACCAGCAATGCTGAGATCTCTGGTTTCGGCCGTGTGTTTGTTTAAACCGGGTTCTCAAGTAATTGCACACACAAAAACACATTATAAAACTGGGATTTCACTTAGTTTGAAAACAAATTAATGTCCTAAAACATAATTTATTTTGACATACGAAAACAATCTCTACACAGAGCACCTCACAAGATGCACCACCATCTGGTATGGATCATAGGTAAATAAAGGGACCTCGGATGTATTTCTGTAATGTCATCCTCCACAGGTCGTTTGTCTAACATCGGGTGATGTTGCTAAACCGTACATTTTGTGAGAGTTCCAGATGTAAATGTTTTCATCTTATTCCGATGTAACAGAAAAAGCACGAAGCGATTATAACTATAAAATTAACGAAAACATGTCTTATTTGACAGGCTTTCACACGGCAGGATGGCATTAGGCTTTTGAATGTACCGTAAATTTGCAGGCTGATGCATTCACGTTCTTTATTTACCTGGTGAGAAAGCATTCATTGGAGTCCTCCACCCATCAATAGATAGACCATGGCTGATGAAAATGCTAATCTAGCAACAATACTGGTTCATAACAATCTGCTACCCTAATACAGTAACAGGATGCATAAAAACACATTTGAAACACCTTATGATGGAAAAACTCTTGTCTTGTGCACGAGAACAATCCACTGCTGGATGAAGGCCTCGACAATATTCATTTTAGAACAGTCAACCGAATATCAAGTTAATAGTGTCGAGACTGCTGACAGAATGGCAGCCAAAGGTAGAAAGGGGGCTGATAGTTTGACCGTAGAGTTGGAATGTTAAGATGAATTGCAGGAGCGAGATGTGGCATCAATCAAATAAGGGATGGGGACACCTCGGGGTGTTTTCATCCAGCTGTGTATACCGTAGATCATGACCGATTATGATTAAGCATGTTGTTCGTATCTTAAAACACTTAAAATACATATAACACATGAACAAGAGCTTACTAAACTATACCACTTTAAAGTATTACTTGCATATCTTGTCCACCATATTATAAATAATGCAGTATCATTATTAAACGTATTAGCCACATCAGAGTACAGTATTAGTAAATTATCAGTGCAGCACTTGCCTTATCGTGTTAACAGCTGGACTGGTTACTTAAGGGCGCTGCAGTGGCGAGATGTTAACTACCTCGCCTGGTATACAGGAGAACATGGGTTCGATCCCGACCCTGACGCCTCCTGTATATTTGGTTTTGCGTATCTCTCTCTCCCGGTGGTCGCGTGGATTTTTCTCCGGGTCCTCTGATTTCCCCCTCCACATTTAGAAACATGCGTTTAGAGTATTTGGCTGATATTAATTTCCACATAAGCTACTTCATGGGGCTATCATTTGTGGCCAAGTCGCTTCTGAAAAGCACCTATAATAGTTCAGTGGGCCTTACCCGGTAAGATAAACAGATTTTAGTTTTAATAGCACAAGTGCATTTGTAATACGAACTACAATGTATACATTTTCACAATAACCACGTACCTATCCCTCCGTAAATATATTGTGATGCTGTATTGGCAGCGGTGCAAAACATCATCTAACGAGAGACAATATACACTCGATGACATTTCGTACAATGGCCCTTCTGAAGAGCACACCATGAATCAGGGCCATTACCTGAAACGTCTCCTTAGGGGAGTGTTATTAACTGGTTGAGCTGTTTTTATATCTTACACACAATAAAACAACGCTGCAACGTGAACCACAATCCTTGTCATCAGCCACGACCAATCCACTGCTGGACCATATATATCGTCATATAATCAATATTGCATGAGATGTTCAGGTAAAGAAGGTAGTGAAGTGGGATGTCATGATGGGATCTTGCACAACGCGTTTCGTGCATTTGAAATGTTTATGTTACTATTTACTATGGATGATCCTCATCAGCCATGCTCAATCCACTGCTGGATGAAGGCTTCCCCCCTCTAAAGCTTTCGCAATCTCCCAAATCGTGCCATGTAAACAATTCACCCAGCACTTCGTCTGCCACACTAGCCGATTTTACAGATTACATCTCCTCGGCAGACGTACTCTCAAGACGAGTTCCATTACATTACATTTAAGTCAAAACCGCAGTTAAAGCAATAACATCCAACATTACAATTATTACCGTAATAAAACATGCAGAATACACAATATAAAATATACTGGGATATCGCTGACGAGAGAAAGCATAAAACCTTAACCTTGCACAACATTGTCCGTTCGCCTCCGAGGTAAAAATACGAATGTTAACAACCGAGACGTTTGCGAACATCGTAAACATACAACCACAGCCATCGCATCTCGCCCCCCCACCCACCACCGCCACTCCTCACAATAAAAGCGATCACAGCCAAAAAACGGAACGGCTCCGGGAGGACCTCCACTGGGGAAATGGAACGATGGAATCAGCAGCTCGCGTGCAGGTGAGAGGGCTACATTGTTACACGGCAGGATCGCGAGAGGAAGGCGACTTCCATCCAGCAGGGGATCGATGATGACCGCTGCCGAGGAATAAAAGCAACTCCCCGTGGCCCCCCTGCATCGCAGCTCTCCTCCTCACGATAATATTTTACCAACAAACAAAACACGCCGATTTCGACGCGGCCCTAGCCACGCGTCGATTCAGTTGGGGGTTCTCAACAGAGAGAAAAACTAAACGTCGTGAATTAGACAAAGCGACGATAAAATAAAAATAATTATAATAAAACGCGAATTTCACTCCGAATCTCGACGAAAGACTCACCTTTCCCGCCCAGCGCCGCTGCCCGCGGAACCGGCTCTGGGATCCGGGTCCCAGTCCCGGGGATTTTTCATCGTTGGAGGGGGGACGGAGTTCAGAGGCGGGGCGGGGAGTGGGGGGGGCGGGGAGTGGGGGGGGCGGGGAGTGGGGGGCGGGGAGTGGGGGCGGGGCGGGGGGGCGGGGAGTGGGGGCGGGGCGGGGCGGGGCGGGAGTGGGGGGGCGGGGAGTGGGGGCGGGGCGGGGCGGGGCGGGGAGTGGGGGCGGGGCGGGGAGTGGGGGGGGGCGGGGAGTGGGGGGGCGGGGCGGGGAGTGGGGGCGGGGCAGGGAGTGGGGGGGGCGGGGAGTGGGGGCGGGGCGGGGCGGGGAGTGGGGGGGGCGGAGTTCAGAGGCGGGGCGGGGAGTGGGGGGGGCGGGGAGTGGGGGGGGCGGGGAGTGGGGGCGGGGCGGGGAGTGGGGGGGGCGGGGCGGGGAGTGGGGGGGGCGGGGCGGGGAGTGGGGGCGGGGCGGGGAGTGGGAGCGGGGCGGGGCGGGGAGTGGGGGCGGGGCGGGGAGTGGGGGCAGGGCGGGGAGTGGGGGCGGGGAGTGGGGGCGGGGTGGAGAGTTGGGGGGGGCGGGGAATGGGGGCGGGGCGGGGAGTGGGGGGCGGGGTGGAGAGTTGGGGGGGGCGGGGCGGGGAATGGGGGCGGGGCGGGGTGGAGAGTGGGGGGGGCGGGGCGGGGAGTGGGGGCGGGTTGTGGTCCGCGGTCCTCCTCCCCCGCTCGTCATCTTCTTTCGCCCGGCTGCTGATGTGGGCGCAGAGCAGCAACAACAACAACAACCGCAATGTCACATTCAGGCGGTCAAGCCAGATAAGCGCGTCAGAAACAGCGGAGTTGTATCGCTGTGATGTCTCTTTCGTATTTGTGGATCGGGCATTGCGTTTCTGGTCTGGATGATCACAGTCGTACAGTTGTGCATCAGGTATGGGGTCATCCATAAATGACGTCACGCGATTTTTGACGATTTTTTACCCCCCCCCCCCATAGTCACACAGCGTCACAGAAAGTCAGACCCCCCTTCAAATATGACGTCACAAAGCTCTGCCCCCCCCCCCCCAAAAAAAACATTCTTCAAATCGCTTTAATCTTCTTGGTTCTTTCGGTAAAGTCACGTAGAAGGGAACAGGACCTGTTCTTCACCTGAGGACGGCTGCTTGCGTTGTGGCCGAAACGTCGTGATAATTATTTTATTGTTTTATTTTTATTATTTTATTATTTCCCTTCTACGTGACTTTACCGAAAGAACCAAGAAGATGAATCCCTGCAGTCACGAAAGCTTTAAATCGAAATTTTAATCGCTTTAAACTATTGTCATTGTAGTGCATATTTAATGTGGCGCTACACTCTGATGTTGTAGGAGAAAACATTTGTTAAAAAGTCTATTTAATTAAGTAGAACGTGTTGTCTATATTTAAAGTTGCGAATTTTGATGTGACGTCACATTTCTCACCCCCCCCCCCTTCGTCACACATCGTCACAAATGTCTGAACCCCCCCCCCCCCAGGTGCGTGACGTCATTTATGGACGGCCCCTATCTGCATTTGCGATGGTTTGTGCGGATGCGATTTAGGGTGGACCATGAGCTTCGTACAAAAAACCAGGGAATCTTCTGCATTGCGTCTTTCACAACCAGGTGTTTGTGAGTTATTTTAAACTCCATTCAGCTCCCCGAGGCTCATCTGGGGTGAATTGCGCAATGTTTAAGGTTAAGAGCATGGTTCCAATAAGGGCGTGTGTGTCTTTAAGCGATGCCATGGGATGTTATTGAGGTCCTGATGAATAGGAAGGCGACTGTTTTCCGAAAGGAGGTGATGGCAATAGCCATCACCTCCTGCCATGCTTTTGGGATGCATCCGGTTTTCATGGTATTTGTGTACATTTTTGCCAGCTATTGGAGTCCCCTCGGGACTAATAAAATAAAGAATTTTGGGGGGATACCATTTCTGCTGGTAACCTTGCCTTTCTTCATTGCAGGCAGACCCTCCCTCACTTCCTCTTTGCTGATGATGGTGGGGCCTTGTGAAGAAATGTATGCCATTGGCTGGTGTAATTGGTGATGGATATCTCGCTTGATGTTTTTGCTGAGCGGTCCTTTTGCGTTCTGCACTAGTTAGAGGCTTTATAGTTGGTCAGAACTTTTGCGGTCCGGTATTCAGTTGGATGAGCAGCACCCAGGAATTGTGGCTAGAGTGTGTGAAGACCAGCCCTTTAATACTCTCGATCCACCGCTGGCATATGGCTGAGTCTAAAGACTCTAGCAGGGCCTTTCCAACCTATGGGCTGCCCGACTGGTTGTACTGTCGGAGCAGGTCCTGGGTCTCTTTTGTCCAGCATGGATGCCTTCCGAGAGCCTTGGGGGATGCTCTTCTTGGCGGCTGAAGTAAGGTTAACAAAACGGTGATAGCATTCCGGTGTTGCGGAAATTCGACTCGCCACTCTCTCTACAGCCTCCTTATAGTGGTTCCAGTCAGCTTTGACCAGGTTTCAACTTGGTAATCGTTATGACAATGACGGGGATTTCGATGCCAATGTGAGCGATGATGGCCCCATGTTTACTTTTAGGGAAGCTTGGAAGTATGTTGCGGGATGCATGAAGTGTGCTCCAACTTTGATCTTTGGAAACGATGGTGAGGTTCGGGTTGTAGTCGTGTTGCTGCCGGAGAGCAGAGTGAAAAGCTGTTTGCTGCTTGGAATCGAAAACCAGGTGCAGACCTTCAGCAGGCATCCAGTCGGTGAGGTCTTCGCCGTCGGCCTGATCTCTTGCATAGCCCCACATAGTATGGTAGCTGTTAAAGTCACCAATGTATAGGGTTGGAATTGGTGCACTTGGGAGCGCTGGCTTTGGCCATTTTGAATACGGGGCTTTGGACATGTTGGTGATGTGCAGCTTCCCCTATCATGATGCTGGTGGTGTAGGTGCCTTCTTTTTCAGTTAGTGGAAAGGCATAAGAAGTGCTGGAGTGCATAATGGCAGGTGAATGTGTGAGGTGGCGTGCAGTACATATATGGTATAGAGTAGTGTACGATTGATATTGTGTGTATGGTGTGCTGTATGGTGTGCGGTGTGGTGCAATGAATGGTGGTAGAACTTGGTACAGTGTGAGAGCAGTGGAGTTGACCTGATTAGATGAGGGTGAGTGTAGTGAGGTTGGGGTGGGTGTGAGTCGGGGTGGGTGTACATATGGGGTGTATATGTCTTTGTGTGTGCATATGTAACAAGGTTAGTGTGTGTGAGGGGCTGGTAACCCGTTCACTTTTAACACTAATTTTTTTTATCAGTAACCACTGTGGAAACACCCATTTAAACTTTTCCTGGAGGCCAGGGAGGAGGCAAACCCCCATTTGGCGGAGCCAGATTTTACCCCTCCCCTCGGGGTTTCTCAAGATACATCCGGATAACAGTAGGCTTGGCCACGTGAAATTTCCAAAGGCTCACTCTGGAGAAGCTTCCATTCCTCTGTCGGGAACTGGACTAGTACCGCTTGGACCTGTGTAGTACACAGGCGGTCTGGTGGACTGGTTCTGGCTCCATTCACCATGAGGGGCGGACAGTTCTCCACTCAAGGCAGGAAACTGCCAAACAACAGGGAGTAGCACTCTTTTGAACAAAGGAATGAAGTGGATGTGAGAGCATGAAGGTGAGGTCTGGGAAGCTGTGAGTGCCATGCTACTGCGGGCTTGCCTCTATCAATGGGTCGAGAGGTTATTTTGGTTGCTTATGCCCCCACAGAAGATGAACATCAATAGAGGGTTGCAGGCAATGCTGATGAGTCAGATTCCTGCGATGACCTGCCCTAGGTGCTAGCTAAAGTGGCTCCTCGGGATGGAGTCATCCTATTGGGTGATTTTAATGCTCGAGTGGGTCATGATGTGGATACCTGGTCTGGAGTGATTGGAAGCCATGGGCCAGATCAGCTCAATAACAACGGTAGGAGGCTGCTAGACCCATGGGCTTGTAATCACCAACATGCTGCACCTGCCTGGGTATTGTCATTAAACTCTCCCCTCCCTCAACACCCTATGGGTGATGGAGAAGTTTCCACATTTGGGGACCCAAGAAAGAAAAAAGATTAGATGGAGGCATATTATAATAATTTTTGCGACATTGAAGTGTAATGTATAATGACTTATTGTTAGTAGGTCAGCTTATTGGAGATTATATTGAGTATATTGATATTGATGTAGTTTATATTTTATTTTTTTATCGGTTCACTATATGATAGTCATTATATAGTCTATTGTATACCCAGTTACTTAATGGTAATAGCTCAGCTTATTGGAGAATATATTGAGTACATTGATTATATTGATGTAGTTTATAATTAGTTATTTCATATCGGTTTATTGTATGATAGTGGGTGGTTGCAGTTCTTTAGTGTCAATATACTAAATGCCTCTGTTGATATGTAAACTCTGACTTAAACATAGCCACTTCCGTGACCAGTTACATGCTAATTCCTCACATTAACATCATGCTAATCTCCCAGTTACATGCTAATTTCTGATTTTAACATCCTGCTAATTCTCTCACATTAACACAGCTTATTCAATTCTAAATTCTTCTGTTGATATGTAAACTCCTTTGTCAAGGCGCTTTTCTCCTCCCACCCAGCTTAAAATACGCTGCCAAGCTTAGCAGTGTTCATCAGAGCGCTGTCTTTCAGACAGCCGAAACGTCGTGAGAATTTTATTGTTTTATTTTTATTATTTCCCTTTTACGTGACTTTACCGAAAGAACCAAGATGAATCCCTGCAGTCACGAAAGCTTTAAATCGAAACTATAATCCATTCAGGCCTCCCTGCGGTATGTTAGTCATGGGGCTTGTTTGACCACACTCAACCAGTGCTAGTCAGTGCGGATGTGAACTGGGGGAGGACAGCATGGGTTCTGAAGCTACAGAATGTGGAGCTTTCAGTGTTATCGCCTCGTATTCATGGGTTTTCTCGGGGTACTGTACTGTAATCTCTTCTACATGCCAAGCATTCATTAATGGCTGTTGCACAATTCTGCACGATCTACGAAATCCTTTCTTTAAAGCCCCCCCCCAAACCTATCGTTATATTCAGCAGAATAATATTATGATTCACCGTGGGCTCTTACCTGGCTAAAAACCATCACAAGAACGAATCTCAGGAGATCCTTACCTTGGTGAGAGGTCCACTATCTTTTATCCCCCGGGGTTAAACTGAATCCACAAAACTCCACTCAATGCATTTGGTTTATTTTCAAGTTTGAAATGATGTGAAACACACGCAACTCAATAATTAAGTGCTCTTCAACATCACAACACCATTCTTATCTCGATGCGTATATATAATTTTACATTCCCCCCCCCTCCCCACAAATTGGCTTTACAGAGCAATTTTACAAAAGAAGTCAGGTCAGGGAAATAGTTTATTGAGATAAGATCCGGTATAGAAGTTAGAGCAATAGCTTATATACAAGGTTAAAGGTGTGGTGTAGTGTCAAGATTAAATGACTAGGGTTCAGTTAAATCAGTCAGGTCTAGGGTTATGGGGATGAAGCTGTGGTTTTGAATCAGGTTTAAGGTTTAGTCATGGTAAGGTTTTAGTGGGGTTACAGCTATGATTTAAAGTCAGGTTTTAGTTTTGAGGTTAGAGTTCAGGTTTGGTCGGTGTCAGGTTTAGGAGCTAGCACTATGGTTTCGTCGAGGTTATGGGTTAGAGTGAGGATTAGGGCTAGATATATGTTGTCAGGTCAGGATTAGTCATAGATAAGGGTCAGGGCTGTGCCCACATCTCCATCGTCCACCAAGGGCACAGTGGTGGCAATTCCACATTGCTATGGTGAGAGCCAGTCTCTCCACAGGACAGCCACTGTTGACTTTCCACCGAGTGCTCATTGTTTCTGCCTTGCCAAGACATTAGGGTTGAGCATTTACCCTATAATGGAGCGAAACAAGATGACGAAGCAACACTTTTGCGACAATAAAAATCTGTAAATACCTCTTATGGTTCTATCAAAATGTGTTCGATTTTATCCATTCCTATGACGAACGTTGTTCGTCTAAAAAAAGTTATCGTCTCTTGCCACAATATCGACAGCAGTGGGGATAATGAACATTATTGGGGAGAAAAAAATGACAAAAGAGAAATCTACGAGGAAATTTTTGTTTTAAATTATACAAGGGACCCTTGTGTTCACATTGGCTTTTCCAGTTACACAGTCGAAGAGACGCACATTTTTACAATGGAAAACATATTTAAAACATAAGCGGCAATCCCGAGACACCAACCCAGACATCGTCGTGCGCTCGATTCGGTGCATGACTTAACAGTAACTCAATGCCGAATTCTGTAGTTCAAAGTGAACGTTTATATACGTAAAAAAAAAGTTTCCGTTTTGCACGCGAGGTCTCGTCACCAGCTGATGAAATTCAACATTACTATGGTAGCACCCAGACTATTCTAATTAAATATAATGGCAGCAGCCACTATCAATTCCCTACAATGTATTGTTAGTAGCCTTAACTTGGTGGTACTCAATGTATCCACCTGGTACAAGAAGATGATAGGTTAGTGGTGGTAGTGATGTTGATAGAGATGACAGACCTAAACATAAGGACGTTGATGTCGTAACGATTGTTAAAGTGATGCATAATGATTAATAGGTTGGTGATATCATTATTGTAACATGAATTATGACTTTGTACAAAGTGGTACCAATATTATGAACCCCAAAGAGATATTTTAAATGAGCTGAGTCAACCCCCCCCCCCCACCCCCAATCAGGAATTAAACTGATTGAGTCGATCGCCGAGCAGTGGGTCCGGCCGAGTGACGATCATGGTGAACCTATGACAGATGAAAATTATTGTGACGCAATCAGACGGTGACGCGTCCCAGCGGTAGCAGAGGCCGCTGCTCGATGCAGAGGCTTGCGGTTCGATTTTTAACAGGCTGCCCTGGTTATTACAGCGGGTGTATTTATCATAAAATACAATCCTCAGTTGACACTATGTTATTTTTTATTATTAGATTATGTGTTATTGTATGGTCGCCCGCCAAAAGGTATTTGAAAGTTCTGTGTGGCCTGCGGGAAAGCCTCAAAACTCATCTTCATGTGGGTCCTGCCAAGTTTTTTGCAGGACGGGGCTGTGTGTAATCCCAATTGAATGATGCGCATGGAAATATTTTCATCATTGTGGTTATTTTGGCCAATGCCAGTAAAATTGTGTTTTTTTTTTTTCTCTCCGGAAGAATGTCCAGTTGACATCATAGATGGATATCTGTGAAAAAAAGCTTCATAGCCCATTGAATGAATCCAGTATAAATATTCTGATTATGAAACTGATGCGGGATAGAGGGTGAGAACAAACAAATTCCACACACCGAAAGGTACCCGAGTCAGGAGTAGAACCCAGGTCCCTTCTTGCCGTTAGGCACACGTGTTCCCCTTGTGTTGCCACCCTGCTGCCCTAAATGATGAGCGTATGATGATGACGATCACGACAATGGGCTGCGTCAACATCACGACCGGGATCTGAACTCACGCTGCAAATGTCGAATGCCTAGACCGCAGCAGCGATTCAACGCAACCCGAACAAAATTCACAAATAAAAAAAATCCCCACCACAAACTTAAATAAGAATCGAGACCCAGCGAGAGAGAGAGAGACCGAGAGAGAACAGTGGCATCACTGAGGTCTCTTCCATTCGACAGACTTTAAATGCTGAGCGTGGACAGCCCCTTGGTGAGAGTGACGGGGAGAGCACCGTCGGACGTATCAGCTCCGCCACCGCCACCCCCGGCGGAGTTTCCGTGCTCGCCCAGCACCCGCTGCCTGTGCCGCTCCACCTGCCGCCTCTTCTTATCGAGACGCTTGTTCTCGCGCTTCTGGCGAGCGCCGGTCTGCTGCACACGATGATGACGAGGAGGAGAAAGGGGGAAGAGGAGGGGGGGGAGGAGGCCACAGAAAACGATAGTAAAAAAAAATGAGCAGGAAATACGTCTCACCTTCATTTATCTATCCCTACGCGTAAAATTAGTACACTTCCCATTAACAACACGGCCTTCAGCAGCGTTGGTTTATTACAAGCAACATATTTTGACAGGTTTTGACAGATAGGGTCTCATCAGCAGTCAGGCTTGCTTGAACCAATGTTGGCAATCTGCCCAGATGTGTACTGTATAGGCAAGGACCGTCTCTTTAACATATTGGTCCTAGTTCGACACAACATTACAATTTAGATTTAGATTTGAGTTCATACTTAATTTAGGCCATGTAATGTTCCGACTACATTTGTGTCATGAACCCTCCTCCCTCCTCCACCCAACAGTCAACAAATTAAATTGACACGTGTTGTACAAGTGTTTCCTCTCCGATAAGTTGACAGGCAATGCTCACAAACAAAATTTGCTAAATCTTGACTTAAAGCTTTCGTGACTGCAGGAATTCATATTCTTTGGGTTTTTCGGTATTTTGTGTAAAACAAATTTCAGAGAGCACACACCTCCATATACCCCGCATGCATTCATATCTTTAACGTCATTACCGCAGCTTAATTCCATCATTTTAATACAAAGTTTACATGATAGATAAGTAAGTAAGCGTACTGTTAGGCTTACCAGCATTCGACCTCATCATATTACAGCTACTGGACCAGTAGCTACCCCTGTACAGTTTCAGCACTGGTAGATTACGCACTGCGCAGACAATAGCGGCACTACGGTAACGCCATTGCCTCCTGGCAACAAAGCCATTGGAAGTTTGAAACAAAGCTCATGGTCGCGACTGTATAGTGCTCAGCCAAAAGCAGCGGCCTAAGGGACTCGGCAATTATGATTCCGCGTCTGGTAGACGTTTGTTAAGGCCCTTCCCATTGTGCAATCCATGGCCTGAGCTGAAACTTTCGCATCCCCCTACAGCCACTGAAAGTATTACGGTAAACAAAGTGCGCCCACTTCAAACATTGTCGTTTCATTGTACAAACAATTCAAATAATTTAAAACGTGATAAAACGTGATAACATGTGCCATTTTAGTGTGAGTGCTTTATTCAGCAGTGCTTTAGTCAAAGGTAAGTGTTGCATAGTGGATAGTCCTACCATGAAAAACTTAAACGAGTTATGATGTCACACGTGTAAAATATTTTTGGGATAGCCCACACCTCCATATACCCCGCAGGATCTTATTTTGTTTGTAAAAAGTGGTATACCCCGCGGGTTATATGCGGGAAAATACGGTACTGCAGAGCGGCCGAGGAGATCGTGGCTGGGGAGGAGGGTCAGGGGTAGCAGCCCAACCCCAGCCTGCCACGGTGCCACCTCGGCCTGCCTGGACAATCTAGGCGAGGCCGGAGGCTCTGCACGGGACTCGGCCTCACCACGCCACTCTGTCATTGAGTACTTTGCACTATACAGTCGATAAACACTGCTATAGAATCAGCATGTGCTACTGTAGTGATAGCAGATACCACCACAGTATGCACTGCTGCAGTGAAAGCATGTACCATCACAATATGCACTGCTGTAATCATAGCAGGTACCACTACAGTCAGTACGCACTACTGTTAGATTTTTAAGAGTAGTTTTGAAACATTTTTAAGACCCGGGCAATGCCGGGTACTTCCCACTAATTAACTATAAATGACTCCTTGTAAAAAAAGGTGTCAGTTTTGTTGCCAGATAAAAGGGTAAAAACACTATTATCATATTTTGCTACTGGCAAAGGAGGTTCCAATGGTGTAAATGCTTACCCCGAGCTCTCATATTCTGATGGTGCATTGTTTTTGAGTTGTGCGCCTTTTGGCGTCATCTGGTCCAACACCATGTGAGACTAGGCTCGAAGAAAAGCTGTCTCGGGTGTGGACCAATCAATTTCAAGGTTAATGCAAACATGACTCCTCGTAAAAAAGGTGTCAGTTTTGTTGACAGATAAAAGGGTAAAAAAACTATTATCATATAAATCTTGACTTAAAGCTTTCATGACTGCAGGAAATCATATTATTTGGGTCTTTCGGTAAAGCCACGTAGACAGATTGCAACATTTTTTCCTGCCTCAGCAACTCTCCCGCTATATTTTTTCACCTGATGACGATTGCTTGTGTTGCGATCGAAACGTCGTGATATTTTTATTATCTTTCTATCTACGTGGCTTAACCGAAAGACCCAAAGAATTGTATTTTTAACTATATATATTTGTATTGGATTCCCGATTATTTACCGTGTGAGAAAGAACTGTAAATACCTGGTTGCTGCATTTGTACACAAACAGAAAGGGCTGACAAGTCGTAACATTTCGAACCGAGAAACTACGGGAGCTGCCACACTGGTGTAACAGTTGGGTTTGCCGTCCGTAGGTCACCGGTTCAATTCCACCTCCTGGTGAAATAGTTGAAACAATGGGGTACATTTATTAAATCTGCCCCCACTCTACCCCCTCACCATCCAGCCCACTTCCGTCCACCGAAAGTTCATCGACCGGCACATCCCGTGTGGTGGTGGGGTCAAGTGTGGGTACGCTCACCCCTTCTGAGACCAAATACACCTCAAGAGCTCAAGTGGAGGCCTCTCTACCAGCAGTGGCGAGAGCATCAAGCAATTGCAGGGCTGTGCCTTTACCTTTTAACCGAGAAAATGGCACGTAGTGACTTGGGCCACTGTGCCGTCTATACAGTAACGCATGCCAATCGGTGCATTCGTTACGATGATTCTATTGGAAATGGTTACGGTTTAACCAGTACCCGTTTAACAACCCGGGTGTGTATGATGCTCATGCCTTGGTGTGCTGCTGCTGCTGCTGCTTCTGCCTGGCTCCACGCTTCCGCCTCTCATCGTCATCGTCGCAATCTCTGTCGTCGTGGGAGCTGTGTGGGAGGTTCCTCTCATCTGGTCCGCTCGGGAGGTTTGGATCGTCCAGCAGCAGCGACGAGGTCACAGCCTTTTCTACCTCATCTACACGACCGGGGGAGGGAAGAGGAGAAGGGAGAAAGATAGGTGTTAGGATTTTTTACACATACGATGTGATATCCTCTTCCACCTCATCTGCACGAGGGGAGGAGAGGGTAGTGACGGAGGAAGGGACAAACATTTTCTATATATTCTCTACGCACACGCGACAAGGTATAGTGAAGAGGTGTTTTAAGAGGTGTGGTGATGAAATGTTGAACTAAGTGTGGTGAAGAGGTATATTGCTTAGGAGTGTTTGACAAGGTTTGGGTGCGCGTAATGAAGAGTGTATGTGTTTGGCAAAGTGGCTGTGGTGATGAGGGGTGTGTGATGAGATGTTTGTGTGGCGAGGTGGTGTGTAGCAAGGTGAGTGTAGCGAGGTGGTGAATAAGGACTTGAGTGTGGTGAGGAGGTGCGTGGCATCAAGGCACCATGAGCAGACGAGGTGAGGGCCTCCATGGTCTGCAGCACGACCCCGATGGCCGTGTCTTCGTTGAAGCCCGCATCCTCAAGCGACTGACGCACCAGCAGCTCGTTCTGCAGTGCCACCACGACACCTCGTTAACAACCACCTCGTTAAGACTGCTACATTAAACAGGTGATACATTCAACAAACAGCTCATTATATGACCACATATAGGTACACGCGGGTCACCTGACACAAAGATCCCCCATACAGTCTTAACAGACAGTCTTAACAGACTGTATCTGTAACTGACACACACACACACGTGGTCACCCAATACATGCCGACACACACAGGGCATCTGCCACATACACACAGGGGTCAACTGAAGACAACAGCCGTCACCACGGCACCTGTGCTACGCCAGATGCACTTTGAGGCCACGTGAAGTTTCGAAGGCTCGCCAACAGGTCACGGGACAAACCCAAGTGCCTTGGGTTGACTGACCAGGATGACTGGCAGATGCACTAGCTGTGTCCCCTACTGTACCAACTCGCTGCATTTTATCCACCTGGTGTTCCGCTTGTTATTGTGAGCGTTGCTCCTCTGCCCTCCATTGTTGTAAGAGGGTGACTGCCTCCAACTTACCAGTAGCGTCCTTCATGAGAGCTTCCTCCATAGAGGCCAATCTTGACATCACTGGTACCAGTCTTCGGCAAGTCCACTCAGGTCCACATCCTCCCTCACCGCATCAGCCCATCTCTTCTCCAGCCAATGTCATGGCTGTTTAGTCCCCACTATCCAGCCAAACAGAATCTGCTTGGGCATGCAGAGTAAGGCCTCTGCTGTCAAACCGGAGCTGGTCATAAGCACACTGCCCAGGAATGGAAACCTCTCCACTCTCTCCACAATTACTCCATAACCAATAGGGAGTTGAGTCTGAGTGAGCAGCAATCACAGATCATCAGCATACATAACATGGTTGACCAACAGGGAGTCATCCATTGATGGCACCCGGGCATCGATCAGCCTCCCATTGTATCTGTACCAGATGGAAATTATTCCGGTGCAGCCATGGAAAACTTCTCGAACTACGTGATCAAAGATGATGTTAAATAATATGGGAGCCAGAGGACATTCCTGTCACACCATAAGGTGAACATGGAATGGTTCTGACTCCTGGCCACGTAGCTTTACCCGGACTTGCCCACCATCATGAAGGCCCTTAATGATTGTGAGCATAGAGTCAGGGTTTCTGAAAGCATGAAGCACAGCCCATATCCCTGGCCTGTTCATAGTATCATAGGCCTTTTGAACAGGTCAATAAAGCAAAGATCTAGGTCTTGTTGGAATTCTCTACAACTTTGCTGCAGCAGATGGACAGAGAATATGGCATCCATGCAGGACCACCCTGGTCTGAAACCACATTTGGGCTCCGCAAGCCTCTCAGCGTGCCTGGCAAGGCGATGTTGAATTATCCTTTCCAGGACCTTTCCCGGCACACCGAGATGCCCCTGTAGTCTGCGCATACGACTACGCCACCCTCACTCAGCATTTCGCTTGGGAGATTCATTTCTGCCCGATGTTTTTCCTGGTTTCTCGTACTTCCTCTACAAATGGCATATCAGCTAAACACTCAGAAGGGGTGGCTATTTCTGCTAATATTTGAAGCACAGTAGCCCCAGCAGGGTTGTCCGCACCTTGCCCAATGTTGTCTGGGCTGAGGGAATTCCCCTCCCCCAAGACCTCATATAAACGCTCTATAAACTTGCAGACCAGTTTCTGGGGGTTGGAGATCAGATTCACCATTCTTCCCTTTAGGATGGTTATCGCTGAAACGCCGCAAGTAACTTTTTGCAGCACTGCACGTGTTGGGTCATGGGCTGCACAAAAGTCTAGCAGCCTTCTACCATTATTATTGACCTGATCTGGCCCATGCCTTCCAATCACTCTGACCCAGATGTCTGCTTCATGACCCACTCGGGCATTAAAGTGACCCAACAGGTATGACTCTATCCAGATGGGCCATTTTAGCTAGCACCTAGGAGAGGAGGTTATAGAAGACGTCTGACTCATCGGCCTTTTGTGTATCCTTCCACTGATGTTAATTTTCAGTGGGGGCGTAAGCAACTACCACCACCATTTCTTTCCTCTTGTTGAAGGGGAGGCAAGCCCACAGCAGCCTGGAACCATGCTCCAACACAACCTTCATTCTTTTGTTCAAAAGAAGTTTCACTCCCTGTTGTTTGGCAGTTTCCTGCCCCGAGTCGACAGCTGTCCACTCCTCATGACTGGAGCCAGAACCGGTCTACCGGACCTCCTGTATTTCACAGAGGTCCAGGCGGTACCGGTCCATCTCCTGACAGAGGAGTGGCAGCCTCTCCTCTGCAATGAGAGTCCAAACATTCCACATGGCCAATTCTTGAAGTCTCCTGTTCCTAGAGGAACCCCGAGTGTGGGGGGGGGGGGGGGGGGTTCAGTCTGGCTCTGCCAAATGGAGTCTGGCCAGAAGGCGTCATAAACGCCTGTCCTCTGGGGCCTCCAGCATGAGCTATTTCGGTGTTTCCACCGTGGTGCTTAGTAGAAGAAGTGTCAGATGGAGGGGTTACCAGCCCTTCACACACACTAACCAAATTACATTCACACCCCCCACTCACACTACCACGGCCCACACACATACACAGCCTGCACCACTTACACACACTGGTCGCCTGACACATATACACACACACAGGGGTCACCTGACACATGCACACACACTCAGGTCACCTGACACCCTGTTGCGTGCTTCACTCTCTGAAGGGCGCCCTGCTCGTCACGCTCGGAGCGCCGTGCGGGGGAACTCGGGGAGTGATTGCTCCCACCGCGGTTACGGTTCTCCTCATCCATGCTCAGCGCCTGTGTAGACAGGGTCAGCGGGCAGGCAGGCAGGTAGGCAGGGATGGAGGGTGGGAGAGATGGAGGGAGGTCAAGCAGTTTGGACGAGTTTGATAAAGTGAGGAAAAGTGTGGAAGATTAAGGAGAGTATTGGAGAGTGAGTGGGTGAGTGTCTTGGTGAGAATGGGGGAGAGTTGGGGGGAGAGTGGGGGGGGGAGCATGGGCAAGTCTGGGAGAGTGGGCAAGTTTTTAAAAGCGAGAGTTTGGCAGAAATATTGAGTGTGGGGAGCGTTTGGGAAAGCTAGGGAGAGTGTTATCAAGTCTGGGAGCATGTGGTGGTGTGCAAGAGCATGTGCGGGAGTGTGCAAGAGCATGTAGGAGTGTGCGAGAGCGAGCGCAACTGATTGTGGTTGCTTACGTGAGAGTTTGGGAGCGTCAGGAACGGCTATAGAGAATGTTATCGAGTCTGGGAGCATGTGGGGTGAGTGTACGAGAGCGTGAGCCAGCGAGCGAGTGGAGGGGCACTGGACCTTGGTGTGGAGGCTGGCGGGGCAGTGCGTGTTGTCCCCGACACGCCGCACGCTGTCGTAGTGCTCCCCGTGCCGGTACGCGATGTGCAGCTCCCGGGCACCTGCCTTGTCCGTGCCACGCACCTACATGCCCCAGCAACAACACCGTCACCAACATCAACACGATCGCCAACTACATGAACACCAACTACTTGAATCAGTCACCAATTATAGCCATCACCGACATTAACAACAATGGCATCGATATCAGCACCATCAATGTGAACACTACTGACATCAACACAATCAACACCAATAAAATGAACATCAACACCACCATTCCCTCTCCAGACCTGGGTTCAATTAAAATTACTGCAGCAGTCAGATGAACTTGTAATTGTGAGTTCAGGCCTGGGGTCTTAAATTTCTATCACCATGTAACAACACCGCTATCAGCATGACCAACACCACAACAAATAGCACCATCAACATGGTCACAATCCTCATCATTACCACCATCATAAACATTGCCACTATTATGGTCACTGACCACCACTATCATGGGCATGGACCACCACCATCAGTACCACCACCACCGATCTCACCTCCCAGAGAGGTGCGTTGAGCTGGTGAATGACGACCACAACTTCATGGCTCCGAGCAAACGCCACGATGGCATCATTGCCCGCAAATGTTCCGGGTTTAGCCAGGTTCGCGACTATACATACACAAATCAAAATGTATACATACAACTGTTTAGCTATACACAAATGTAACCATCACAACAACCGCCATTCACCACTAAGGGGCGGTTGACATTACCACAGCGCTTGTGCCATGCTAGATGCCCTGAGGTCATGTGAAGTGTGGAAGGCCTGCTGCCAGGTCACACAACAGACCCAGGTGCCATGGGTTGACAGACTGAGATGACTGGCAGATGCCCCAGCTGTGCTTCCCACTGGACCAACTCTGTGTTTTAGCCACACGGTGCTCTGCTTGTTGTTGCGAGCATTGCTCCTCGGTTGTTGTTGGAGGGCAACTGCCTCCAACTCTCCAGTAGTGTCTTTCACAAACCTCTATGTACACATATACACATGTGTAGTGACTGTGGCTGTCACTGTGTAGTGCCATAAGAGGGGAGGGGCTGCTGGGGGCTCTGAGACCCTAGACAGATAAGCCCTCGGCGGCAGGCGCTAGGATCCCAGGCACCCCAGACAGTTAAGCCCCTTGGCGCCACCAACGGGGGGGCTGTGTGTGCTCTGTGAGATATCTGGGGGCGCACACAACCCCACCCCTCGTTGGGGACAAGGCATAAAAGGGCAGCTCCCTGGCCGATCGGGGCCAGTCGCAGCTCAAGACCCAAGACCCGCCAGCCAGCCAGCTTAGGACCCTGGACCCCCTCGTCCCGCTTGTCCTTGTAAGGGCCGGGACGCTGTGAGGGCCAGTGGTGGGACTCTGGGACTCCCGGCTCTACGTCCTTGTAAGGGCGAGTTCCGAGGAAGCCAGAGTCCAGACCCGCACCTTGGCTGGGTCGGGTCAGGTAGCCTCCCCTAGGGTAATTGTAGCCGGAGGACCCCAGAGCGTAGCCAGAGTAGTGTATCTAGGCTGTGTACCTAGGCTGTAACAGAGTATCAGGACTGTTGGAGTGTTGTATTGTAATAAAGAAGTTACCTCTACAAGTGTCTCCGGAACCCATTACAACTGTATGGTGCCGGGGCTTACGAAGCCACGGCGGATGTGTTGTCATTATGGACAGCCCGGATTATGGGGTGTAGTACCAGCCCTGGCGGGGCTGGGTGAGCGCTGGTTAGCGCGGAGGCACCGCGAGCAGTGAGCAGTGCGGGCTCCCGGTGAGGGAGCGAGAGGGAGCGTCAGCCAGCCAGGGTTACGTTAGGGCATGATACGCTGGTTGACCTGCTGACACGTGACCGGATGATATTGGAGGGGGGCCACCGGTGGACGGGGGCCACGGGGCGGTCACGTGGTCCAAAAGAGCTCTCGGGAACCTTCGAGAAGGAGCTCGAGAGACCTGGAAGATGGGCGGGGCGATGGCGGGGCGGAGCCAGCCCCAGCCCAGGAGGATATAAGGGGGGGGGGGGGCCATGAAGAGCTCGGGGTTCTTTGTGTGCTGGTGTTACAAAGATCCACGTCGGGGGAGAAGAAGCCTCTCGCCACGCGGTCCGGGACCCAGCTTGTGGTCCGGACCGGGATAGCGTGTGTATATAGATGAGCATTCGAGACCCAAGTGTAGATTGTGTTGTTACGTACCGTTGTGTAAATAAAGTCTTCTTGGTTCTTTCGGTAAAGTCACGTAGAAGGGAAATAATAAAAATACAACATAGTAAAATAATTCTCACGACGTTTCGGCCACAACGCAAGCAGCCGTCCTCAGGTGAAGAACAGGTCTGTCGGAAAGACAGCGTCTGAATGAGCACCACCAGGCTTGGCAACGTATATTTAAGCTGGGTTGGAGGGGGAAGGGTGCCTTGACAAAGGCCTTGACAAAGGCCCTTCCCCCTCTAACCCAGCTTAAATATACGCTGCCAAGCATGGTGGTGCTCATTCAGACGCTGTCTTTCCGACAGACCTGTTCTTCACCTGAGGACGGCTGCTTGCGTTGTGGCCGAAACGTCGTGAGAATTATTTTACTATGTTGTATTTTTATTATTTTATTATTTCCCTTCTACGTGACTTTACCGAAATAACCAAGAAGATGAATCCCTGCAGTCACGAAAGCTTTAAATCGAAATTTAAATAGTGTTGCTCCTAAGATAACGTCTGTGACTCAGTTGGACTCACGACACATGTATATAATACATACATGACAAATGCATTCGCTTATGCACGGGTGCAGCCCTTTTGTCATTCCACTGCTTGATGAGGAGCTCCCACATTCATCAAAATAACACCATACTTCACAAAGCTGGTTATCAGTCCGGGTTGATTAAGGCAGGGAGTATATACGCTGGAGAATAACACAGTACAACAATGGATGTTGTTGTTCTGCTCTTTGCTAACACAATAATTAGATTTAGAGGGGGAAGGGCCTTTGTCAAGGCACCCTTCCCCCTCCAACCCAGCTTAAATATACGCTGCCAAGCATGGTGGTGCTCATTCAGACGCTGAATCGATTCTAAGATGCATGCATTGATGCATTCATCATGTGATAAATTATCGATTTTAATCAGTGAATTGTTGCATTGTTGCACATGTCATGAGCATAACAATCACTTTTACACGGCATATTGACGAATCAACGCTACATTTTCTGCGTAACAATTAATTTAAATTGGAGAATTTATGAAGGGACACACTCCAGCTTGAGAGTGACAATGGATTGTACTCTGTGAATTGACCAATCAGTGATGAGTCGCACGCACCATGCCGCTCGAAGGGCACGTCGTCCTCCAGGAAGGGCTCGAAGTGAGCGCGGTGAGCGCGCATGAACTCCACCGTGTGCTCGCGGTGCTTTAGGTGCCCCCCCACGTCGCCATCCAGCTGATCGCCCAGCGCTCGGAACAGGCAGTTCCTGCACCCACCATCACAGGGGGAGGGGCGTGGAGATGGAGAGATTTTTAGAGGGAAGGGAAGTATGGGGGAGGTGAAGGGAGACACTGGGAGGTGAAAGGATACATGGGGATTTGAAGGCACAAAAAGGTGAAGGGAAATATAGGGAGGCAAAGGGAGGCAAGAAGAGGTGAAGGGGAGCAAGGGGAGGCGAAGTGAGGCACGGAAAGACGAATGGGGACATGGAGAAATGAAGGAATGATAACATAAAATGCACACACCCACTCTCACAATCTCACATCCTAACCACACTCTGTTTGACACCATCACTTCCATACTCACTCACCACCTCCACACAGCATCAAACACCCAACACACATTCAAATGCTGACCCCACTCTCTCACACACACAATCGCATCTTACTCAGACCCTGACCTCTATTCACACACCATACTAACCCCAACACTTACACCACTTTACACACCAGGCACATCCCCATATTCTCGCAAACTCACAAGCTCCCCACACATACTCACCCTGGCACGCTTCACACTCACCCCAACGGTAACAACCACACCTCACAGATGCGCTCGTCTTCTTCTCACCCCAACGGTAACAACCACACCTCACACACATACTGTTCCCACAAATGATATACACCCAAAAAACCTCACCACCACACACACACATCACAAACCCCCAACATCTCATACAGGCATAACAGAAGCACCCTCATATATACGAAAGCCACAAAACTCACACACTCTCACATCTCACCCACAATCCAAGCCCAACACAGATCTCACCGATCCCAACAGCCACACCTCACAAAACACCACAAACACGTTAAAACTGTCACTTCTCAGTCACACTTCACACAACCTCACCCCCACTCTCACACTCTAATCCAGTGTTCTTGACTAATTTGCAGAGGGGGGCAATTTTCGCCAATAAGACATCAGGAGGGCCGCCACACATTTTAAACCATTGGGGTTTGACAGCACGATGGGGTATTTTCACATTTGTGTATTATCGGAGAGGGGGAGGTGAGGCGCACGTCAGGGGCCACACTAAAGGCCACGAGGGGCCGCCAGTGGCCCGCGGGCCTTGCAATGAAGAACACTGCTCTAAGCTCAACACTCACACACTACTACCTCTACATCACACACTCAAAAACAACCGCCGTTCACCACTAAGTGGGGGTGACGTCGCCATGACGCATGTGCCATGCTCGGTGCACCAAAAACTACCTCTCACACACTCACCCTCCAAACCCTTCTGGCCCTCACACTCACCCATCTCCTGCCACCTCGCGTATCTTCAATCCCAGTGCCAACAGCTGCTTGGAGAACGACTTGAACTCATCCACGGGGTCAACTCCAACTCCTCCTCCTCCCCCACCTCCTCCTCCCGTCGGTCGCTTCCCTCGGCGGCGCTCCTTGTTGTGAACCGCACGTCTCTGGCCCCGCTCCCCGCGTCCCGACATCGTAGTCGATCTGTTAGGTGGGTTTAGAATGATCTCATTTATGAGTTTTTATGCGATGGCGCTTTAAGTGACAGATATGTTACGGAAAAGGCGCCACCACCACGTATGTAAACAAAAATAACAATTGACTGCACAGAATCACTGTTAAATTTTACCACAACAAAAACACAAGTATAGTACAAGCGTGAGATGTTGGCGTCGATATTGCGTGCGTCCACTGCGGTTGGAGGTCTCCCGGTTACCGTCTCGACCCCAGCCCCCGAGCTGCCATGCCACGTTGAATCGCACGCCCCAGTTCCTACGGCGAATGTGTCTGCCGCCCAAACGTTGTCTAACCGATGATGCGTAGAGATTCCTATCCCATTGCGCGAGTCCCACAACGTCCGGGGCAGTTTCTCACAAATGAGACAAATCGCAACGCGGGAGACCCGCATGGTTTCCTCATTTACCGAATGTCTCACGCCCAACGCTTGAGTCTCACCTCCAGATGCGCTCGTCTTCTTCTCATGCCGAATGCGCGAGTTACACTCCGATATAACCCCCCCCCCCCCCCGTAGGGTAGTGGAAGGGCGACGGGGAGAGACACGGCCTCGGTACACGGAGACCCCCACGAGGGCCCGGGCAGCGCCGCTCAGGAAAAACCTTAGGCTTCACTCACCGGGATTGGGCCTAGGCGCTCCAATTGCTTTTCCACGCCGCTTCGGCTCCGACGAAGCGCCCAGTTGTCATTTAAGGGGATTTCCCGACACTTACAAGTTTAATTTACGATTTAAATTAAGATTCGTCTTAAACTTCTCTTTAAAGTTTCTAGCACTGCGGGAGATTATTGTGATTGCGTCATCGCTACTCAGCTGATCACGTGAATTGGTCGGGTCCAAGACTCCCGGAAGTCGTTTGGTTTGAGCAGTCCACGTGATCTTGGTCTTCCGGTAGATATTTAAAGGGCCACAAGAAATACGGGCCGCGTGCCCAACCAGGCTCGCCAAGTCAACTTGTCCCAGCTCCGGACATCACGAACACTTTCGGAGCCCTACACACAAAAAAAAGTTAAACATGCAATGTTTTTTTCCTCTAGTCAACAACAAAGTAACCAATTGTCGGGATTTAAAGGGGGAGAGGGATCTCCCCATCACTCCACTTAACGTTAGTTCACTCAAGAAACAGGCAACTCGAGTATTAGCCCAGGGTGGAAGAGTAGGCCAAATACACTCTCGATGGGCTCTCTCTCTAGAGCTCCCTCTAGTGGAGACTCTTCCGCCAAGTGACACAAGCAGTCACTTTCAGAGCTGCACATTTACATCAGATGAATCTAAATCTTTATTTAGGTTGAAGAAATCCGATGAGCTATGAAGCTCTTTTTCACAAATGTTCAGTATGGGCAGGTCAACAACAATACAAAAATCGATAGGAGTGTAAAATAGAGAAAATGGTAAGCATGTCACAAAATTTAAATAAATACACTTATTCCTAATATGTCCGATTTATCAAGCTTGAGCAAAGCAGCAAAAACAACAGCAAAACAGTCACAGATCATAACAAGACAACACACAGTCCCTCAATAAAATGGCACATTAACATTGAACTATCAATACACAGGTAAGGGTCAAAGTTACAAATCAGATTTGCAAGTGTGACTTGAGCACTAATCTTTCTGCTTCAGGATATTTTTAAAAGGAAGATATAGATGTTAAGGGAGGAAACAAGGTTTTTCTAAAACGTTGGTGCCGCAACGGCAAAGTCTTTGTCACCTTATTAAAATTCCTGTTCGAGGGATATTTTTGTTTTTATTGATTTGTTTTTGCAACACAGCAAGAGCCCGGTAGAATGTGTAAACCACAACAAGGGGACGGGGTACAAAAACTCCGCGGACTAAAGCCCGAACTCAGCACTCCTGGGTCCAGAGATGGGGGAAAAATTGGGCTCACTTCCCCATACACATAGGGACTACGAGCAGGCGTATCGGTTTTTATATGGGGAGGGGGACAACAATGGAAGAGGGACAAAGGATAGCAAAAGTCTCGCGGGGCAATGACCAACTCCCGTCTATCCCCTGAAGGGGGCGAGGTAATACCCCAAGCGCCTGTCTCCTCCCCCCCGGCCTCGACACGCGCATTGCATTTACTACTATAACGATTTAAAGCTTTCGTGACTGCAGGGATTCATCTTCTTGGTTCTTTCGGTAAAGTCACGTAGAATGGAAATAATAAAATAATAAAAATAAAACATAATAAAATAATTATCACGACGTTTCGGCCACAACGCAAGCAGCCGTCCTCAGGTGGAGAACAGGTCTGTAGCATTGTATAGCGGATTGTATAATAGTAAATAGTATAAAATTGTAATGTTTAATACAATGTACAAAGTAATATATAGTATCGTAATTGTATAGTGAATATACAGCAGTGTGATATACATTAGGGTGGGTAGAATAATACATAGTGTAATATTACAATGTATAGTAATACAGTATATAATTTAATGTTGGGTTTGTCTATGGCAGTATATATTACGGTGTAGACTCGTGTGATGTAAGAGAAAGTTTAGCTGGAAGCATATTATATTTTTTGCGACATAGAATTGTAATGTATTACTTACTGTTAGTAGCTCAGCTTATTGGAGAGTAAATTTAGTATACTGATGATACTATGTAATTTATACTTTAGTTGTTTACGTGGTGGTTTAGTTACTGCAGCTACATACTATTCACATTCCTTCCTTTTATTAATGTTACCCTTATCCCCTCCCTTTGATGCTGCTAATCCTGCATAATGCACGGGCATAATGACTTTAAACCCCCCGCCAAACCTCCTACGCATTTCAAAAGTAGTACTAATCGCATATCTGCATTTCCCATAAATATGCTAAATTCCTCTTCATATGCAAATTATTTTGTCACGGCGCTCTTTCCCCCCTCCATCCCAGCTTAAATAGTCGCTCCAAGCGTGGGCTGTGTCATTCAGACGGCGGTTGTCTCGACAGACCTGTTCTCCACCTGAGGACGGCTGCTTGCGTTGTGACTGAAACGTCGTGAGAATGATTTTATTATGTTTTATTTTTATTATTTTATTTTTTCCATTTTACGTGACTTTACCGAAAGAACCAAGAAGAAGAATAAGAATGTCTGTGTCCCGCGCGTGACGTCACTCCACGTCGGCCAGCCCCCTTCATTAATAATCATGAACAGGTGACTTCCTCCACATGGACTCCCCCCTCATTAATAATCATGAGTGGGTGACGTCACTCCACATGTAGCAACCCCCTCCCCTCATTAATAATCATGAGCAGGGACGTCACTCCACATCGAACAGCCTCTCTCATTAATAACAATGAAGAGGTGACGTCTTCAAAATAGACACCCCCTCCATTAATATTAATTATCGGGTGACGTCACTCCACATGGGTGCCGAGTCGCCTCCTTCCCCCTCCTGGTGTCAAATTACAACCCTCACTACAAAGGCAGAACCCACACATCACGCAATCTCCGTAACTCTATTGAGACCTAGAAGTAAAAAGGACGTTATGATGAACAAGGGATTATAACCTTTAAATGAAATAAGTCTGTGTCACAGCGGCCTTACAAATTGCACACGATTTGATGCAATGAATATCACGTCGCGATCTGCTTTTCACTTGCAAGTTTTAGATTTTCTGAAATATACCCGTCCTTGGGCGGGCAAAAGACTAGTCTCGTGATAAGCTCCGTGGAAACCAGGACCACCTAACTACGAACTCCTGCTCTCTGCCTTTACACTTGTAGAATTAAATGTTCTGTTCCCGCTAAGCGTAAAAGGGTGCCACGCCAAAATTTCCATGGGAGAGGCCAATGCTCCCTCCAGTTTTGCTAGAATGACCTACCCAGCCATACTGTTAATGGTCTACAGTAGTGCATGCTGGAATTTTAACGAGACGCTTGATTTCAGGGTCCACACGGTTACTTCGATTGTGGGGATGAGCTTAATGCCACATGCATTATTAAAGAGGTCCTTCGTATCCGAGCAAACCCACCCGGGATGTTGTCGCTGTCCATGGAGGTTGGGTGAGGAGTCTTAAGCCGATCATAGCATTCTTGTCGGGGACAGATTTAGGCATCAAGGCATTTCCAAACTGCCCTGACTGGGACGCAATAACCAAGGTGCAAAAGGATGGACTGGGGAAGGAGTACAACTAAAGTCAACAAACTTGGGGCCAATACCGAGCCGGAGAAATAAAAAATAACCTCGGTGGACTCCCGGCGAGACCAGAGTGCGGCACTCGAAGCCGAACCTGGATCGCTTACCACAACAACCCTCAACAGGAGTGTGAGAGAGTGTCTGACGTGACCTCTCTCCAACCCCTCGTCAAGTGGTCTTGCCCACCCGAGCTCTCAGCGCAGTCACTGCTCAGCACAGTCAGCCGAAAATGAAGAACCACCGACTCGTACTACAGACATTTTATTGTTTAACGCAACACAAATAAACACAACACCAAAACAATCACAAAGCAGTCAACTCACTCGTGTCACTTGGAAAATCACCCAACCGCACAATAAAGTATTGACTCTGGTGGCTCTTGCAAGCCGAGGACAGGAAAGCCTTGCAGCCTCAGGTATCTGGGCTGTGATGCAAGAGCAACTTGTCACCTCAGACCCCTGAGCTAAACTCAGGAGCAGCGTGCAGCCTCAAACTCCCGTGCTCCGTACTCGACGGTACTATAATATTTGTAGTTTAAGAATATGTAAACTTCACAACATAATTGCTGTGAAGCAGAGGGTGGAAAGCAGAAGTTCACTGGGTGCGAAAAGCTGTAGATATTCTCTAATGAGCTGGAATAATTTATTTATTTTCCAAATGTAAAAAGCATAAGCAGAGCCTGTGGACGACCGGGGCATCCAGGGGTACGACGGTCGCTGTTTGCTTCCGTCTACCACGTGGTCTGCTGTTCGGCCTTTCAATCTCAACTTTTCAACAATACTTTTATGAGCTACATATAAATAAGTGAAACGCATACAGTTGTTAATTAATTCAATTTATTTAGGATGTCTAACAAGAGCATAACATATCTTATGTCGATCCATCGCTTTGTGGACATTTAAACAGTTGACACAAAGTTTAACACGTAGGCTTTCGCGACCAATATCATCCATAATATAGGTTTTTGGGTTGACACAAATATTGCAAAGCCTCTCAATTATTCAACCCCACACACCACTGCCCAACACCTAAGCACAGATCGTTAAATAATACTGACAACGATTTGCCATAAGGACATTGCGCTGTGATTCACATTTTATACATTCATATGTGATGCCACAGCAACGGAGCAGCTCTGCCGGTGCTGCTCCCCCCTCGCAACCCCTCACATGGACACACACACACACACATACCTCCACGTCGGACCTCGTAGGGAAGTCACCTGGCCTCTGGGTTTTCACCCGAGAGCCCCCTCGTGGGGGGCTCCACGGTTTCCCGGGGCCAGGAAATTGGCAGATTTCCCCCAGGTCGGATGACACTGCGGCGCCGTGAATTGACTTGAAACTCATTGGTCACGGCAAGGCCACCCGGCAACCGCAGTGAGAAAGCAGAAAGAAGCGGCACAGCAGGTAGGGGGCGGGGCCACGAACGGTGGGCTAAAGGGAGACTAGGACACGGGGGGGGGGGACGGAGCGGAACTCCAGTTGGTGGAGCATGGCAAAGATGACATGAGACAGAAAGAAACAGGGAAGCGTGATGATTGGCTGGGAGGCCTCGTCAGCTTGGCCGAGGATCCCTTTGATGTAAAACGGCATAAAAGCAGGACAGAGGAGCACCGAGTTGAGTTCTCTCCAAGTCAGCGATCGGGGCAGTCAACCTTCCGGCCACTTGAGCGTCCGTGAGACGCGTCGGAGCGCAGCCAAGATACGACCTTG